ACTAGACTGGAACACTGTTCAAATTGATAAAACGACCTACAATACTCACAAGAAGTACTGCTACAATGGATGCACTAGACTGGAACATAGTTCAAAATTGATAAAAAGACCTACAATACTCACAAGAAGTACTGCTACAATGGATGCACTAGACTGGAACATGTTCAAAATTGATAAAAAGACCTACAATACTCACAAGAAGTACTGCTACAATGGATGCACTAGACTGGAACATGTTCAAAATTGATAAAAAGACCTACAATACTCACAAGAAGTACTGCTACAATGGATGCACTAGACTGGAACATGTTCAAAATTGATAAAAAGACCTACAATACTCACAAGAAGTACTGCTACAATGGATGCACTAGACTGGAACACGAGTTTAGCTACATACATGTCTGAACAACTTCTTATAGAGAAAATTTTATGGCAATTTCTGATGTGGTCCTCCATGGACTTCCAACTGAATGTTTCATAGCACTTGAGCTTATAAGGTTAGTAAAGCAATTATTTAGTGTTTTAAACATTTTCAGTGCATATCATATGGAATTGGTCATATATTATGATCAGTTTATTAGCACATCCATCAGGGAGGAATGTTGAACTGTTAATCAGAAATTTACCAGGATCTTCAAGATGTGCAGTGATTTCTTTTATTATTTTGAAAGATTAATTTTTAAACCACATAGGAGTTCTCCATCCTCAGAGATTTCTCAGTTTTGAAAATTATTCAACCCACTGATCATCAATATTTAGTTAGTTTAGGAAACCATACTTATAAGATGATCAGTGTCTATTGAAATTGTCTTATGATGGTAATAGATGCTTTGCTCTTAAGCTCTCTTTCTGTGCTATATTGAAAAGGACATCCACAAGAGGCCTACTTGGCAGCTACTTTAATCAGTACTTGCAACCAAGTAGAATTCCTTCATTCCAGGTTACAAAATTTTTGGCCTTCATCCAAAATGAATAACACATTATATCCCAGATGTAAAGTCACTTGGACCTGCTTGTATTTGGTTGCATCTAATGGGTCAGTGCTTTTTTGGGAGTTCCATATATAAAACATGACTTTTTTTATTCATTGAAACTATTCTAAAACCCATTTTTAACATGTAACAAATGTCATTAAATCATCAAACATATCTGAAAAAGGTAAATCCCCTAAAATATGATAAAAATAACATAAGTTATTTGAAGTAATTGCCTGTGTACAGTTTAAATATCAAGGTTATTGCAATTTCTTCCAACCTTTCCGTTAAAACCTGGGAACTTAACGGTTGAAAGCATTTGAGCCTAGTCATACCCAAGACTCAAGAAATCACACCATCAATAGTACACAACCACAGAAATTGATCTTATACTCTTTACCAATCATAATGTAATTGTACGTACGATAAATGACACAATGATGCAAGAAATGCATAATGAGGAGGATGTATCTTAGGTGACAGAGTACTTTGAGTAATCATTGGATTCTCTCTCACACTTTATGATGTGATGCCTGATACTAACTGTGCTCTTTGAGGAAAATATAGATATATCCCCATTCCCTCATGAACTCCCATGTTTATTGTATTGGGATGCTTACATATTTTTCTAGAATCTCTTTTAGTGAATTCACTTACAATTATATCTTCATTTTAAGGGTACAAAAAGGTTTCACAAGTGTTACTGGTCTGTTCCTTTCACTATATATTATTTGTTTGGAAAATTTCTCTAAAAATAGGGGAATCTTAGATTGAAAGAAAAATTTTAACCATTAGCACATTCACATCATTAAAAACAATTCTGAAGTTTGCCTCTGTGGTCAATTCTGGGTTGAGAAAAAGGTATATTTATGAAATTACAATGTTATAAAAATGCATAAAAATAAAAAAACAGTGAGGATTGTTCTATAAATTTAGAATTGGAAAAACTTCAAGTAAAAACACAGCTTTATGGTTGAAATATTGATGGTTGTAAAATATATTTCAATGAAAAAACTTAACTTTTGTAATTCTTCATTTAGCTCTCTTTCCCAAGTTGATGTGGATTCTGGAATTGAAAACATGGAAGTGGATGAGGTGGAAAGGAAAGAGTCTGTCAAAAGACAAAGGGTTAATAACTTTTTTTTTAGGGGGGTGTTATTTGTATCTTATATATATTTCATATGTTTGCATATACTGAGAGGGCTTGTTTAAGATGAGTTGTTTCCATACAATTTGTTGCAGGAAATTCAAAGAGATATTTGATACTTATAAGAAATGAAGAATAGCATTCAAATTTGAAAAGATACCAATGATGTAAATTATAAGGACACATAAAAAAAAGCTTGACACTATTCAATTTTGGTTAAATACTAAAAATAGTATTAAGAAAACAAGTTTCATTAGGCTCAGAAATTTAAATTCTTTGATAAAGCATCAATAAAAATAATCTTTGTAAAGATCTGTTTTTCTTATGGCTTAGAAAATAAGAAGAAATGAAACTAAGTCATAAAAGATTTTGCTTCTTTAATTGATTTTATATATATCTATTAAAGATATTTTAAAGTTCAGATTATCAAATTAAAGGAAATTATCCACAAAAAAGCATTAATATTAACTTATTTCCCGGCTTATAAAATTTAGCATATTTGTTATTAATAATGTGATCTATGTTTTCAAATGTACTGTTTGTTTAAAAGCTAATCAGGTGCAGGGTAATGCAATGATGTGTCTCAAGCTCAGCAATTTTTAACTTTTAATTAGCTTAGTTTAAAGTATATTGGCAGTGAAAAAAAGTAATATTTTTTTCTGTGGTATGAAGAGGACACATACACTTAGTTTTCACTAAATATCTAAGTAATTGACAACAGAAATGGTTTATCTTTTGAAATCGTCCTTGTTTTCATGTATGATTATTAAAATGTTTTATCCCCTCTTATGCAAAATAAAATCTGAATAAAATCCATCAGTGACCAAAAAGTGGTTTTTGTAAGTCGATCAGGATAAATATCTGGATGGTAGTAGTTGTGTTAAAACACTGTTAATATCTTTAACCATAGATATCCTGATGCTGTTGACATTGGGTAATATAATACATTACATTTCTGTACATGTTAATTTTATTCTAAGTGTTTTATTTTTTGTATGCTAAACAAGAAGGACAGTAGTATCAGCTGCGATTTAACTGAGGAGCAAGTTCACTCAACTGTGAGTCGAATTTTAAGAGTTTCATGGAAAGAAGATATTCCAGATACTGTGTATTTACCAGCAGTGATGGAACAAGATGAGGAAACAGGTATTTTTACAACTTATTTTTGGTAGTTAGTAGAATTTTCTGAGCAGCTATAAGTAACAACTTCATTTTTAATTTTTGTATTCTGAAATATTGATTTCATTTGTGATTAAGGAAAGACCTATCTTTTTTCAGTGTGTGTGTGTGTGTGTGTGTGTGTGTGTGTGTGTGTGTGTAGGTTTTTTCAATGCATAGAAATGTTCATTTAGCTAAACCTTACTGTTAATTTGTTAGCATATTTCTTTTTCTTTAAGCATAATTTGCTTACATTAGAAGTCATCTTGTAAACATTACGTATCAGACCATTATCCCTGATTTATTAACTTTTCAATCAAATGTTTTTAATATTTGCTATATGCTTAAACTATTTATACTAAAGAATATATATATATATATATTGTTTTTTCAATTTTTAAACTAGGTAAAAAAGTAGCAACTTTTAATTTTTTTTTGTTTTAATTTCCAGAAAGTCTTAAGTATCTTAAGTAGATTAAATGAAATTTTCTCTCACATTTGTAAAAGGTTGTGAACTAAATATTTATCATGAACATGGTAATGTATTTTTCCATAGCTTTATTTACTTTTTAACACTAAGTGTATTTAGGATAATAACAATAATAGAAAATATTATAGAATTAAACCTATTGAAATTGTTAAATTATCTTACCATGAATATTTAGTTGGTGGAATTAATGGGATGGCCAAAAAAGAATTTGCATATTTCCTCAGTATAGAGGTTAGAGGACATTTTATACAAACTAATTTAAAATGTGTTTACTGATTGCTTAGCCTACCAAGATCTAATCCAACAGCTTCTGATGGAAGCTCTGCAACTGTTTATTGCTCAAGATGAGAATCTCATACCTGTACTTCAAGACATGAAGTGTTCATCTCCTCACCTAAATGGTGAAAACAGACATTCTAGGTTAGTAGAACTTGTTATGTAAAGAAAGTTGGTGTTTCTTGTATACAGAAAATCATATTGATATTAGTACTTGATAATGAAAAAAAATTCTTAATACATATGATGAAGAAATGCCCTGTGATAGAACTGCAGATCTTGGTTTGAATCCATGTGATATCACAAAGCATTCCCTGCACTTTAAGCTGTGGATGTGTTATAAGAGTGACAATCAATTCTTTATTATAGATAATAAGGTGCCGCTGAAAGCCTGCCTTCCCTCTATTCATAAATACAAAATAAAAGACTAACAAGTGCTTGTTTAGCTTTCTAAAAATTATAATCTTGAATTTAAAATACAACAAAATTTCTTAACTGATCTGTTTTGACTGTGTTCGTATCTTATATTTTGCATTCAATTTATAAAAGCTGAATGAAAGAATGGAATCAAAATGTATGATTAATGAAATATGTATAATTAGCAGAATGTCCTGAAATTCAAATTACTATGGTATAACAATCTAAAACTAATATAATTTCATGTAGATAAGGAGTTTTCATAACAATAATAATAACATGCACACACTTTCAGCATGTCTCGTAGTCCACTCCAATCTCCATCAGCAACACCTACTCCAACTGTTCACCTTGAAAACTTAGCTCTCACAAAAGTGGAAGACTGTGTAGAGTCTTTCATGTTGAACTATCTTATGGACTGCTATTCACGAGTTGGGATAGAAGAACGAGGTGCTCCTAAGGTGACTATTTATATAATCTTTTGTAATAGACTGTATTTTTCTTAAATAATGCTTATATGATAGTAGAAGCATGATGGTAAAAAAAAAAACACAATAAGATTAAGTTTTGTTAATAGAAAAGTAAAGTGATTGAAAATACAAATTCAGAGGATATAAACCATAATAGAAAGACCTAGAAGCATATTAATTTGTGTATTTACAGGATGCCTAAAGTATTTTAGCATCCTTTTTTTTTCTTTTGAGAGGATAGTTGGTTTAGTGTTAGTTTTTTGCCAGTATTATTTATCATATGCCCAGTATCAACATACAGTATGTATATATCCCCCCCCCTCCAGTTTTTCTTTCTGTTAATTACAAACTTCTATTGTGTTTCACTTCAGTCATTAGTTGTGATTGAATTGACATTATGAGTCCAATCTGGCTATACATCTTATTTTATACTCTGTTTATGAAGTTTATACTAGTGATTTTTGATTAAAGTGATTTCATAATAGTATTTAATATAACCTTGTTTTCCTCATTTTGTTACAATCGCTGCACATCACTGCTCATCCAAGAATTTTTAGGAGGATTCTCTTGTCACAATTACTCCAAAATGTGTTTCCAGTGTTTATTGGCTTATGTTTATGTACTTGACGAATCTTTTTTCCATGTGAGAAGAAGTGAGAGGTGTTATTTTTTTTCCCCTATTGTCATTTAGCATTGAAAAATTAGAAACACTAAGCAAGAATGGTGGTTTGTTTTAGTTACTAGATATCATATATTAATGTTTACATATTTTTGTTAATTGTGAGGACCTAGATTTCCAGACACTGTTAAAAACAACAAAAAAAACTGAAACCTGATCCGGTTATTAGCTTACAAAAGATGAATACCTTTTCTGTATTTTTAATTTTAACATGAAAATTACTTTGCACATGGACTATTTAAAACAAATACTCAATATATGTTCATGGACAAATATTTATTTTATTTTATTAAAAATACTTTACTAAGAAATACGAGTTTTTGTATGTGAAAGACTAGTAATATTAACTGAAAGACTACCAAATTTTGTGAAGATATACATACTATATTGAGAGTTAAAAGTATTAAATCTATAAAGAATTTAAACGAGCCCATATTGAAAGTGTTAAGCAAACTTTTGTTAAGTTTTTGCTCACTAAGTATTGTCAAATTGCATCTGTTTGTATTAATGACGTAAATGGCATTTTATATACATTTTTGTTGCGGTAGTAAAATAGACTTAATGTGCTTACACTGTTAGGTCATAAAGACACGTTGTACATAATATTTGTTTTTACAGCGGACCAGTGTACCACCTTTAAGTGATATTTTGACACAGATTAGATCACAATGTGTCCAGTTCACACTCTTAGTGATTCAGGGTCAGCTTACGACTCTCAGGTATGTTCTGCAATAGTACCTTAACATGACTAACAGTGTTGTTTTATATGTGTAAAGGAATATTTAAACACATGATATTTCATTTATTAAAGAAATGTAAGTTATTGTATGGTTTCCTGTGTAACTGTTTGAAATTAATGTTTTTGTTCACACAAATGCAAAAGTGGTGTAAACTGTATAATTAACTTTTCCAGTAGTTTGAACCAGATATCATCATATTTATTTTCTACTGATTCTACAGATGTATCACTTACATAAATTTGTAGAAAATTTTGACCTCCATAGGCTTGTCATATAAAATTTCTAAACAGTTAAGTTGTGAATAGATGGTGAGATATAGAAATACAGACAGATAATTTTGAAAGGAGGATTATTAAAATCATAGCTTTTGGAAAGTCAAACTTGAAAGTACACTATAACACATTAAAATGTTACAGAAGTTTTATACTTTACCATGATAAAAAGCATGTTTTTTGATATAGCTTTGAAAAAAAAGCATTTGATGTAACACAAACTTTTAAAAGAGAAATTTTGTTATTGAAAGTATGTTCGAGAGTATTCAAAACTTAGCTTTTTTTCTATAACATGCTCCATCTAAATTTCATCCTCCAAAAATTCATCAAAGTCATATTCTTTGGAATCTGAGTGAAACAACTCAAGCAGTTCATAGGAGTTTGTCATCATTGGCATTGGAATTATTTGACTAAATAAAAAACTTGTTTAGTAGGTATGGGCTGAAATTTATGTGTAAAACGTATTATGTAGTTTAACCTGAAAAGTTATCAGTAGCATAAAATTTGTAATGCTTCTTTTGAAAAACAAAATTGGGTATAAGATACACTCTCGTATAAACTGCATGTTATGGTTTTGCATATACAATTGTGTATGGACTGCAGTTTATAATTGGAAAATTATGGTAATTTGATATATTTTTTTGGCATTAGAGAATGAAGGTTTGTTATATTTATTTATGTCTATATTAAGGATTTTTCCTTTGAAAACTTCTGTATTTTCTAAGTATAGTTGTTCTTGGGCATATATGCTCTTGAAGAAAGTGTTCCTGGAGTTGTATAGTAATGGATATTATTGATTGTTCCAGGCCCAGCTGTAAGCCATCTTTACTGCTGCCAGTTTTATTTTCTCAAGGGTTTCCTCGTGGATTTCTCCCAGAGATGGTGTGTGTAGCTGCACAAGATCCATCAACATTAACCTCTGTGAGTCTTGTATTATGCTACAAATTGAATATTTCATGAATATTATCTTGTATATTCTTTAAGTGCATTGTGATCTTGCATAAGGTGTGGCCTAGTGGTTAGTATGCCTGGACTGTTGATTTGAGAATTCATGGTTTACCTGTTGTTGCCACGAAATCCACTCACCACTTTGGGATCAGGGTTTTTTTCTATAAGATTGAATGTCAAATCCTACTATCTGATCAGACAAAAGTAGTCCAAGAGTTGGCAGTAGATGCTGTTGACTAACTGGTATTTCTCTAGTCAGTTTGAAATAAGTGTTCGCTGTGGGTGGATTGCCCTTTTGTAATTTTGTGTGGAAACAACAACACTGTGATTTTTGAGTTTCGGTGTGGCATGAGAACTACACTTATTTATAGTGTAGGTTAAATTGGACTTTGTTTTCAGCTTCAATACTTTAAAGTGGGGTAACACTATTGCTTCATCTTCAGTGGGATCTTCTTGAGTGTAAGCCTTGATTTATGTCAGGAAGCTTAGACTGAATCAAGGAGGAGATGAAGCAATAGTGTTACCCCACTTTAAAGTATTCAAACTGAAAACAAAGTCCAATTTAACCTACACTATAAATAAGTGTAGTTCTCATGCCACACTGAAACTCAAAAATCTGATTAGCCATTTAGTGTTATTGAACTAAGTACTTATCATGTGTGATGAACAATTCATTTGTGTATTTAATTAAGAAAATACCATACTAGTTTTAAAGGAAGTTAACTAAACCCCAAATTCCTTTATCTAAAGACTCAAAATGTTTAAAAGTGATAGATGAAACCAACAAGGATTATTTGGACATGAGATAGCCAAGTAAAGTTTTTTTTTTTTTTTTTTTAAAGAGAATCTGAAATTTAAGAAGTGAATACTTTATTTATGAAAGATTTTGGTTATGGACTGCTATTATCTTGAGAGTCAATCAAACCTGACATCAAACTCTTGTGGAAGTTTATTACTTTTAATTTACCTTCATTTCTGTGACTACAGTTCTTCATTAATGTGATTAATTATAATGGTTCATTCCATTCAAACATCTGTTCCATGTAGTAATAACTAAATAAAGGGTAATACATAAAAAGGGACCTATTATTACTGCAATGTTTCCCCAGCTCAGCAACTCTAATTTGACAAATATTTATATTACCAGATTAAAGTAACCAAGTAAATTCAAAGGCTAGGCATAATTATAAAAAAAGTTTATAATTGACGAGAATTAAATTAATTAGGTTCTCATATTAAATACTAATTGTTAATAACAAGCTGAAAAAGGTCAATTTGAGTTACATTTAGGCTATCATTCATGTGGTAGACAGTGTTACTGCCCAAGTATTTAACTGTATTGTTAAACATGCTTTTGTGTATTACACTGTATTGAACTATTGTTTTGTGGGGCAGATGGTTAAATGATTGAGCTATCATTATTAAATATGTTGATGATAAACTGTATAGTCACAAAACTTTTCAGTAATATTTAGGAAATCTTTCCAAAATAGTTGTAGAGACATTTGAATAGCCTTCAAAGAAAGAATTTTAGCTTACCAGTGTAAGATTTGGTAAAGCAATTGTATACAGTAGCTAAAACTCTAGGAAAATAATATCATTGAATATCATTCAAACTGTAGGATTAATCGTGAGAAAACTGTTGAAATATTTTACATTTAGAAAATCACAAGGTATCTTTCTTTCTTTTAGTTGAATAGAATGCTGGAGGGCTTGTGTGATTGACAAATTGTAGGATAATGATTTTGACATACCTTAAACATAAAAAATAAAAGAAACAATGGCTTTTTTTCTTTGTAGCTTGAGGTTTTTTCATTTCAATCTATGTGACTTCCATAGATTGAAAGTAGCATTCTACAGACCCATCAGAATAAAAAAAAGTCCTTTCTGGCATCTTTCATTGCGTTCACAAATCTTGGCTGTTAGAAGACATGAAACACATGAAGTAGATATCCTAAATTGATCACACAAATTTAGATGATGAAGCACATTAGAGCACAGACACATAATTGTAATTCATTTATAACCTCAGTTTTTCTTTGTGTTGAGGAATATTGTACATTAATCTTGACTTTAGTATAAGTTACCAAAACCATATTTTATGAGAAGAACAAATTAATTAAAAACTGTCATAATTTTGAATATCATGTATATGATGATAAAGTGTTATTCCTGTGAGATTACTTATTGTTTTATTTTCATGTTTTAGTAGAAGAAGAAGAATCCATTTTGTTTGAAACACTTGAAGGAAAAGTTCACAGTTATGTTTTGTATAGCTTATATATTTACAACAAATTGTAGGACGTGTCATATTTGAGCTTGCTCCTTATATATAGCTATGATGCTTTTAACAGTTACAAGTTTAGAACTCCTTTTTATTATTTTTGGATTCCTAGAACATTTCTCAACCTTTATATAGGTTTGTGTTTGGCTTCTACTGACTAGTTGATGTATTCACTAACTTTCAGTACCTGAATACACTTTAAAATCTTGTTAACTTTCCATTTATTGCTAAAGAATGAATGTTCGTAACATAAACGCAAAAACCAGTTGTAATCTTTTAGTGAAAGCAAATGCCCATATATATCTGCCTTCTTTGATTTGTCATTAAGGTATAAATAACATACTTTTACAATACAATGTATGTTTGGAATTGAAACACTTGTTTTTTAAATTAGGTTTTCTCTCCTCTGCTTGAAGGCCTCTATCATGTCATGAGACAGTGTTCTCTTGACAGTGATGGTTTTAGACAACCTTTACAGGCATTGACTGAGCTTTGTGAAGTGCGGTGTGGACCAGGGAACAATAGACCCATATGTAACCTGGTGAGTATTATAACCAATTCCAATATTAATCAAGGTTAACAAACAGAGGAATAAGAGAGTTATTCTTTATTCGTGATACTATTGCTAAATCAATTTCTGGGTAAGAGTAAGTTTTGAATAGTTGATATAGTTTTTCTTAAAAATATAAATTTGTAAAATGCTGTGTAATGGCTTAAACAAGATTTAGCTGAAAAAAAAAAGAGTAATGAGATTTAAGGTATTTCCCTTGTGAATATGAAAGCAGAGCTAATATCTGTTATTCAGCATTTTATACTTTTTGTCATAAATCTTATTTTTTCTTTTGCTGAGTAATTCTAAAGTATATAAAAGACAGTCCATATTATTCTATATTATTCACATTAAAGATTAAGGATCACATGTGAAGGAACAGTTGACATCTGTTTCTAAAAATGGAGATGTTTCACAAGATTATCCCACTTTTCTAACATATTCTATTACAAGTATAGTTAATTTTTAAAACTAGTATTTTAACTATTAAAAATTAAACACTACATAAAATCAAGCTGTGATGAAGCTGCAATGGCAAAACATAGGTTGAAATAAAAAGGTTTTTTAAATTATCTGATGAGTTAAGGTTGTTCTTCTAACATTATTGTCAAAAGATTTAATCGGTTGTTTCATGCCACAATTGAACTGTCAGATTTATTTTATGTCTCTGTCACATAACTTTTAAAAGTCTTTCATTAATGTTTTAGCATCTCAGTATCTTAAATTATTGGTGTGTATCTTATTTTACTCTAGCTTAATTGTCAATAGATTTAATTTTTATGAGCTAAAAAATGTAATACAGCTGAAAATTAAATTTATTAAGAAATACACCAGCTGTATCTTTGTGTAAAACAGAATGCAGGCTTTTGCAAACCCTTACAAAAAATATTGTAATCCATACGAATATGATGCATTGAATACAATTGCACGTTTATAGTTCCAAGTCTTAACAGTTTTGTACCTATATAGAAGGTGGTGATCAATGATCTATTATAAATTTTTTAAAACTTAACAGTGATCTCCATAATAAACGGTTCTATAAGAGCAGAGCTACAGAAAGACTTTTGGAGTTTGCAGGCAGCATATCCAAACTGAATTAACTCTGCACATAATATTAAGCTTACTCTGGGACTGTCTTTAAATTCATTTGCTAATTTAATCGTGTTATTTCAAAACTAAATTTAGCATTCGCTCAGTCTGTCCAAATTTCACACACTTAAATTTAATGAGAAACATGCCAAAAATAAAACTTGTCTGGCTTTAAAAAAATAGATCATATAAGGATATGAATATGTTTGTACAATTTTGCACTTAAAATGTGTACACTTTTCAGAAATACAAAGAAACAAAATATATTTTTAGAGAAGTAAACTACAGGATTTAAACACAAGCACTGTTTATCTTCCATATCTATATAATTTCTTTTACAATACAGTTTTGCTAAATAGTGGGTTAAAGTACCCATAATACATTACAAGTACAGTTCACAAAAAAATAAGGCTTTGTGAGCATCCCAAATCCCCACATATTTGTTCTCCAACAAAATACCTGCCACATTTGATGATAGAGCATTTTGAGTATGCTTAAACGTTGTCTGGTGAAATCTGTACTTGTTATGGATATTGTCTTGGACATTGGTGTTACATGGTGGAAAAAATTTGAAGTTTCAACTTTTTTTTGGTGAGATATACACAGTTAATTTAAGCCTAATTTTCATTTGAATGAGTAAGATATGGATAAGCAAACTTATCTTTTGATCCTGCATGTGGAAAATTCTTATTTAAAGTGAATGCTGCTCTAAAAACTTCAGGAATTTTGTCCAATCATATAGCTGCATGTTGACAGAATACAAAGAAGATAGACATATGAAATAAACCAGTTAAACAGTGAAGTATGGCATTTAGAAGTATTAAGTTAATTTCTTTATTGTAATATGTATAGAAATAAAATCACTGCAGTATTATTGAAATATAAATTTTATTAGTAATTTAAATCAGATCTGGAATGATGCCGGCAACTTATAAAACACCAGTTCTATTGATGCATCTCATGAGGTTCAGAATCTAATTTTTTAATTGATTTTGATATATCTGGTGTTTTCAGAACTGCTCATGCTTTTCTATACATTTCCATGCAAAATATTGTCTGGTTTGTTCATAGCTAATCCTAAATAAACCCAGTCATTGGAAAAAAATAAGTTGTTTGGTTAGTAGTTCAACATATAACATCATTGATCACAAAATGCTAACTTGTTGATCACACAATGATAACAATTTTGAAATATTGAGGGTGTGGCACTCCTTTTGGTCAGTCTTCATTGGTGTGTTCACACCCTCTTTTCCCACATCTTTGTATGTTTTTGCACCATTTGTAACATAGGAGTGTGTATTACATCATAGATGACTGTTGCAATCAACAAGGCTTAATAAAGTAATATCGTAGAGTTTAACAAGTACAGTGATCTAATAAATTACCTCATGAAAATAAGACAGGTATTGTTGCCCTTTCTCCCAGTGTTTTCTGAGTAACTTAAATGTGTAAGACACAGACTTTAATATTTCTGGTTGATATATGAGTTTTTTTCTTTATCATTAATAATTCTGTACGAATTGATATTTGCAGTTAAGTTTAATGCCATTTAAAAGCTGTTGAAAGTTGCCGAGTCCTCTTGTTTACGTCATTAGTTTTCTGTTTCGTAGAACATAGTGAGTATTTACAAATTTTTTCCTACAGGTTGTAACAAATCGTCTTTGGATGTGGGAAGGACTTTCTCAAGCTACTGGTAGAGAATTGTCTAAACTTTGTTTCATGGGACCATTTTTGAATCTCTCTGTTTTTGCTGAAGATAATGTAAGTAGAACAAGATAAAAATTTTTTTTATCCAAACAAATAGTAATGACTTACTTTGAATGAAATGTGAATAAGTTTTGGTTATTTAGATTTTCCAGCAAGTACTTAGGATTTGGCCATTTCCTTGGAGATTTTAAATCTCTGGAAGGTTAGCATAGAACTAGAAAACCTTACTTTTAATTGTTTTAACATTAAATATATACTAGATTTGCCACGAGCTTGGAAATCTTGTAGACATTGGGAGCTTTGAAATGTTTTAGAGAAAAAGCTTCGACAAATTCTAAAGATGTTATAACACCTGAAAACTGTGGGATATGCAAAAACAGTCTTGCTGTAACTCATTTAGAGATCCTTAAAATATTAGTCTACCTAAGAAAACATTTTGAAAGTTCGGGGAATGTATATGTGTATAATTTCCTAGGCTTTCTAGGAATATACAGTTATGTTTTCATTAATCTTGATGAATATGAGCATGTTTAATGTTAACATTCTGTGGTGTTAAATGTAACTTTGTATAGTAAAAAAATTCAGAACTACAAATAACTAGGATAACATTTTGTATAAATACTAAAGGAAGTTTCAAAATATGATAATAAATATAATGTATCTCATAAGTAAGTTCTGTTCATTCACTCCATTATGGTGTGAAAAATTTTATTCTCTTTCTCTGTATATATATGTGTGTGTGTGTCTACATATATGTATATATCTAAACACAACACACATGAATCAAGAGAGTTCACAATGAGACTAAGAATTTCCATTACCACTCCTTGTCATCATCATAGATATGAATGAGTTAATGATGATGAAAGGGATTGATAATGGAAAATATTTTGAGGTTTTTTTAGTCTCATCATGAACATTTTTGATTTGTATTAATTTCATTATTGTTATATAGTGTTGATATGATTGCCTATTTACAATTAATGTATCTTATTGTATTAGAACTATTTATTTATAACACAAAAAAGCCATAACCAAAACATACTATGTATGTGTTTTTATATATGTATAAATTCTGGCTCTTAAATTAACCTCAGTAATATTAGCTATTTTGGTCTATGTAATTGTTAGTTCATCTTTAACATTTATATGCTTTGGTTATTAATTCTGTAAGAAACATTTAAAAAAGATATAAATAATGTATTTGGTTAAATTACTATAACATTATGTTGTACGCATTTATTTATTGATTTCTAATTATAATATCAAGATAATTTAAGCAAAAAAATAGCTAATTTTTGAAAAAAAAGTTAGGGAAATAGATTGGAATTTTATACCGAAACCAAGTTAATAATTCTACTCGGTTATTCTGCTTGTTAAGGAATCAAGTTAATAAAAGAAAGTAAACATACCCTTTATCCTTCATTTGAAATAAGTAAATGTTGGCATCTACAGGAAAAGATGAAACCACCATGATACAAAATGCTTTAAAATGAATAGAATAACAATAAATGATTAGCAAAAACATTAAATAATATGGATGGTTTTAACACGAGAAGCATAGCTATTTGACTTTTTTCTGCTAATGTTAGCCAAGTACATATATTCAATATTCTAGGAGCAATGGTTATATTCAAAAGAATTTCTGTTAAACAGATTAACTGCTCATATAAAGGTATTTTCTATCTCTTATTTACATATTCTATTCACATGAAAGTATAAGTTTTATTTTTACTTTACGACCATTAGTGCTGTTTCTTTTTTTTTTTACCTCAATATGCATTTTGGGAATAAAACTATTTGCTTAATATATTGCTTTTTATGTGTTTTGATCTTTGTTCAACTTATATGAACTGCTTATAATCAAGCATAATGGAAAAGCTTTTGTAGCATGGTTGCTCTACATGAAGCTATAATCAAAAACTGTTGTTCTCAGTAACTTTTTATAAGTGATCTAAAAATTATTTGTTATTAAACAAATAATTCATCCTGGTTATTTATTAATTTTTCTGAATAATTTCTTTAATTTAATTGGATGAGTACTTTTAAAGGTTTGTTTTCGCAATGAAACATTTTATTTACCTTGACTTGTGTATACAAAAAAGAGCTGAAAGAAAAACTTGTTTTTCCTGTTCAATCAGTTTTGTTTGTAGTGAAAATTAATTATATGGATGGTGTTCGATTCATATTTTCCATCATATATTTTGTTATCGTTATTAAATATATATTGCTGTTATTTGTGAAAATAGCAGTTATATACATAAATAAGTTTATTGGTTTTGGATATATATGTTTCTTGGGTATATGAACATGTTATTATCATTTCCAGCCCAAAATTGTAGATAAGTACTTCTCGGGAAGCACACTTACTGCCGATAACACCAGACTTATCAATCAGTCTTTACAACACCACTTGGAGTTTTCTAGGGTAGGTACAGTGTATTTTTTCACTAACACTGAGTAAAATTATAACTTGCAGAGAGGTAATATGTTTTTGTCCATAATTTTCAGAAATATATAATGGCTTTTTGAACTTTGTTTTTTGCTGCTATGCAGAAGTTGATATCCTTCTTTTTAACACTAAATATAATAAATTCATTTTTCATATGAAACGTACATTATTTTACTTATTTTGCTAAGCTTTCTATTCTTATCAATTTCTAGTTAAATAAGGTGCATAGATTGAAAATATTAATAACACTTCTTTAAGTCTGTGTCTGAAACAAATTTAGGGAAAGACCAGCGTGTTGTATTACAAAAGATATACAACAATGTGACTAACGTGCATACACACTTTAACAGTTTTATTGGCTATTCATATGTTGTATTAAGGAAATAGCTTCATCCATTTGACTTAAATGTTATAAAACACATAGCAATTTACAGTATCATTATATCTTTACAATAACTGCTTAATAACTAGTAATTCATCTTTTAGAAAAATGACAAAGGAAAGTTTGATTTAGTTATTAACGTGTATGTATATAATTAAATGAGTAGCGTTTGTACATGCAGTACACAGCACTGCCTTTACATTTTATAAACTTTGTGAATTCAAATAAAAAAATACCACAAACAAAAAATGTTTTGTACACAAAGCACGAGTTTTCCCACTAATTTTATATTAAAGTTAATTTGGATATAAAATATATATCTATGTTTGTGTTCTTGTAAATAATACTGCTGTCACTGAAATCAGAAAACATCATAATCTGTGTTCTAAAAAAACCCTCTTAACACAAGGAAAAATGTCAGAAACAATTTCCTGTTTTGTTCCACTCGGCAACAGCTCTCACTTTTGAGTTATGGCTAGTTATACTGCAACAGTGTTGCTGTCACATTTAGTTATTAACACCTGCTTCCTGGTCATATGCTTTTTAAACTAGTTTTCATGTTTTTTGACTGCATGAAATGATGTTTGTTGACAGAAAACATGATTTTATACATTTTTAGAATTAAGAGTAAAGATAAGAATAGAGAATTCATTCATCATGTGAAACTTTTATCTCTGCAGAATGAACTCTTCCGTGTGTTCCATGCAATTTTAGTTAACAGTAGTAGTCGAGATGCCGCCTTGGAATTCCTCACAGTAGCATTGAAAACTAATGAAAAGAGAGCTCAACTTCAGGTAAGATGCTTTTTTTTTCATCTTTAATATTTGAAGGCTGCTTCTGTAATCTGCAAGATTACAAATTGAGAAGTGAAAATTCATAGATACAGAAAATAAGATTTCCTTTATATAATATTAAGTAATATTCTGTGAGTAGTGTGGTGATCATAGTTTTTGCTGACTGAGTAGTAATAAAATGTACGACAAATTATTATTTTTTGTTATGTTTAGCATTACTTAGCCAAATTATTAATATGAAACAATATAATAATTATATATATAAATGTGTTAAAGATTTCTTTTCTTTTTCACCGGGTGGGATGTATGTGAGTTTTTTAAAGGTTACCACTGTAAGATTTATACACCATATATGAAACAATGCACTTTTGAACCAACTTCCTTGTTGTCAGTTGGTACTATTTGCTTGTGGTTTCCAGTGACATCTTTTGTGGTCAAAATTTTTTTAAGTTATTTCAAAAATGTTTTTGCAGCTTAAGTGTTCTTAAATTTTTTTTTTCTCCATTTGAGTTTACATTTTCAAACCTTTGATTTTTTTTGTCTCAATGAAACCAAAGGTTCTAAAGCATTGAAAAATAGTTCAAAAGGTTCAAAACCATTATAAAATAGTTCCAAAGGTTCAATAACACTAAACAAATAGTTCCAAAGGTTCAAAAAACATTAAAAAAATTGTTCCAAAGGTTCAAAAACATTAAAAGTATAAACTATTTTTTAAATGTTTTTGAACCTTTTTTAAATTTACTATTGAAGTTTCTATGGCAGTAATTTTTTATATTTGTGTTCATAATGTCTGCTTTATATAATCTGTTTGTTAGGGTTGTACAGTAATGTATAATAGTCAGTTAGTCTAATGCTCTTAATGATGAAACTTTATTATATTTTAGAAATGCCTAAAACTTTAATTGTAGAAAGGCACAAAGAGTGTACAGAATTAAACATGTATTAAAATGTTCAAAACTATAATTTTGGCTATATTTCGTTGTCAAATCCATGTGGAAGGGATTGTGGATAGGCAAGGGCTGTCATTGATTAGCTCTTGTAACCTAACTTAATTTGTGAAACATTTAGGTATTTTCTCCTTTCTTTTATGATGATTCATACTTTCTTAATGTGCACATTCTATTGGACCAACCTTGTATTGGAGAAGTAATGCCTATAATTCCAAATGTACTATGTGTATCTTCATGAAACGTAGCAAGCTTTTAGAAAAAGTACATGTCTGGTGTACAGAAATATTCAGGTGTGTTAAATTAAGAATTTTGTGTTAAAGATATGTGGGAATTGATAGTCATTTCTGACAAGTCAGATTGCAAGATGATGTGCATCTGAGAAATAAAGATACTTTTCTTCATTGTACAGTTTGTATATTGCATTTGCATAACCCCTAGAACTTCTGAAATGTATATCTTCAGTTTTTTCAGTATCCTTGTGTACTGTATCTGGTATATTCTCTACTCTAACATTATCTGTTGTAAAATCAGAATGTAGGGAAGAATGAAAATGAAAATCGAATGCATAATATCATGTCAAATGGCACTCTGTACAAGGTCTCATGCATAATTTGACCCCCACCTACGCACATAGAGCTAACTGCTGTTGATCTCAATATATGAAAACTTGGAAAGTTGATTAATACATTCTTGCTTTGTCTTGGTTGAAAACTACTTTGTTTTATTTCATGATTTGTCCAGGATATAAACATTTATATCACTAGGTAGAACTGGTCATTGTTTTCATTATCGTCTTTTGCTTTGAATTATATTAACTTGTAACATCACTCAGATCTTTGAATGTGACAGAAGTCATAAGTATAAAGTTTTAGCTCGTGTGGTAAGCTTCTATTTAATGGAGATGTTTCCTTTTAATCTCACCCCAATAGGAATCAAAGGATCTTCATATGTGATGATTATAATATCTATAGTTTGATCCTTTGTTGTACATTTTAAGTAGGTTATTGATGTATTTAACTAAAATGACACTGTATAGTCACTTTATATTATAAACACCCTGTTAGTATCTAAAAAGCTTTTTTTTTAAATCAATTAAATTGTCTTTATGTATGAAATGGCTTTGTTCTTGTTACTGTTTTAGTTTAGGGTTTTGAAACATAATGCTATTTTGGTAGTTTCTCAATTTTTTGTAAGTGTATTTTGTAGTTACTGTAAAATATGTTTTACATATCTGAACTTTATTACTTGCATACACAGAAACATGTTATATGTTTTGTTATATTCTCATGCAAACCCACTTACTGCTTGAATTGCTAGGTTAGAAACACATCTGAAGAAATATTCTGAATCAGTAACTGCATTATTATTTTACCATAAATTTTGTTCTCATTCTAGAGTTTAATATAATTTTTACAGACACACAATTATAAAGTCTTAAAACAATCTTGTGATTATCAAATCAGTGAGTGGGTTACAAAAAATTAGAGGAAAAAATGCTACATTTTCAAACCAAATGTATAAAACTTAGTTAAATTACTATTGAGGTAAAACCTCGGAAAACTAGGTGTCTTGTATACAATGAAGTGTGCTAGTATCAGACCAAAGAATTATGAATCATCTCTTAAAAATTTTACATTGCTATTATCATATGTGAGAACTCATGTTTGAGAAATTACTTTGAATTATTTTATTTCTGATTCTACTTATATGTAGTCAAATTACATTTTCTTAAATGTGTTCTATTTTGAAATAATGCAAAACTATTATTAATGCAGTTTGCTAGATCGTCGTAAAGGTACTTTAGTATGTGTGGTTGGTACAAACTTTCACCTTGATACCAAGTTTGTGGTATTTATTTTTAATTATGTTCAAAAGATTTAAGTTTAAATTATTTTTCTGCCTTAAAAAAGAGATTATAGATCTGATTTCAGTTGTCACAATTCATCTTGTCATGTCTGGTCATGCTGTATTTGATGACCATGTGTTTTGAAAATAACTCTTTAGTATAGTTTTCATTGAAAAATGCTCTGTGATAAGGCTGTCATGTTTGAAGCACACCATGCCTCCCTGTATGTTTTCCATAGTTGATTATAAGGATGACTTCGATATTCCAATCTCATCAAAATTCATTGGTGACTTGGCTGGCATTTGTCTTCATTAGAAATAGCATGAATATTCATTTCATTTTTCAGCTGGTTGAGGTATATGATGATTGAATGGATATCTTGTAGAACTAGTTAAGTGCGTGTGACTTGTAAGGAATATTCCCATCTTGGAAATATTTAATCTCCAATCCAAACACATCTTTATAATCTCAGTGTATAATATTTTGTATCAGAAAGTGCAGTTACATACTCATCCAAACAATGAATGTTCAGTAGCATTACATCACCTACAAATTGCCAAACAGTGTCAAAATGTATTTCTGATATCCTCTCTGTGGACAGTGTTTTCAGTCATGATAAGTTACAGAAGAAATTATTGTTTCATCTTCTACATTGCTTAAATTCAGCAAAATAATTTTCCTGTGTTGAGTTCATTTTTCAATTTGTATCATTATCGTAGTAACGTTCCTTTTTTATCGTTCCAGAGTAATGAACGACTTGTGGCTGGTGATGGTTTTATGTTAAATCTCCTTTCTGTATTCCAACACCTGTGCGTAAAAGTGAAACTGGACAAGGTTAGTGAAAGGGTTGAATAAAAATGTAATTTATATTTATTGTGTAAAGTAAACCTGCCATTTTTTGAGAGATAATATTACCAGTCTTTGTTAATCACACAGTGAATGCACAAAACTATATAGACTTTTGTAAGGAAAGGTCATGTCAAAAATGAGTTTTGAATATTTTATTTGTAATCTGTTAGATATCTACTCAATACTTAAAATTTTATGCATTCTGTTACAACAGATCCATATCCTTCCTATAGAGAAAATTGATAAAAAATGAGGATTAAAACTGTGCCTTTTTATTTATATTGTCATGTAAATCCTGTCTCTAATATTTTAGGTTGACCCTTTCTATCCATACCATTCCAAGGCCAGAATAAGTATATCTGGAGAAACAAGATTAAAATTGACCACCCAGGAAGCCAATTCGTGGGTTGAGAGCCAAAGTATGCTATGATTATCTTCTATTTTATTTATATACACTGTTGGAAAGATCTCTAGAAAGATGCAGGCGATACACATACAGGAATGGAATCACAAAACTAGTAATATAAACTAGATGATGAATTTATTAATGGTTTGAAATATTTCCACAGAAAACTTAAGAAAGAAGATGAAAAAATAAATTGAACAATGCACTAGTATTTTGTACATTGTACGTAGGCTCTTGGCTTTACACAGAGCATTACACATTGTTCTCATGTTCATGCTGCCATACAGTTTATCATTATACAGTTGGGGAATATCATTTGAAATGTATGGTACTACTCCCCACAATTCAGCCAAAGTTATTTTTTGCATTTTATCTTTCTTGGATTTTACATAAGCCTACAAAGCCTCAAGGTTTTTTGCAGGCCAAGCCATGGTTGTGAGTATTCCATCAGCCTATTTACCATCAAGATATTTTTACCACATTTGCTGTATGATTATAATCATTGTGTTGCTGGAAGGTGAATCTCTGTCCAATGATTATCTTCCTGAGGCAATGGTATGATAGATCAGATTAAAAAAAAATATGCTTATACTTGTCAGAGTTAGCGTGCAATCAATTTTGTGTAAATTACTAACACTGAGGGTTGAGATACAGCCCCAAACTTGTACTGATTTCCTACTGTTCTGTAAAAAGAACACACACACCCAGCTTTGTACATTCCTTTCTTTGTGGTCATATATATATTCCAACCTTTTGATTTGGTCAGCTGCTATTTTTGAGCAGTTACATGTACATTGAGACTACTTTATGTTAATGTGTATCTTACTGTTCTCAAGGTAATATTTTAAACAGCACTTTCGTAAATATTTGCTTTTCTATCTTGATCTTGTCTATTATTATATTCTTCAGTCTTGCAAAAAGTTCTGGATTCGTGTCACAATTTTTTGTGTGCCATACCGTATTTCCATCTTTATGGGCTTTATATTGTTGTAGTGCTTTCTAATTGGTTGGAAGGTAGTCAATATTTCCATCTTTATGGGCTTTATATTGTTGTAGTGCTTTTTAATTGGTTGGAAGGTAGCCAGTATTGGAACTAATTGGGGAAATGCACAGTTAATACACATACAGGAAAAAACAATGAGTAACATTAACTACGTACATTGTCAGTTTGTCATTATTGCACTAAGTATTTTGTATTTGCTTTAAACAGAGCAGTACACCCTGTTTTAAGTTACATTATAAGGAAAATTGTTTTTTTTAATTTTATATTGAAGATAGTTTGTTCTTTGTCTTCTTACTTTTGCTCACTTAAGAAAAAAAAATGGTCTTGATTTTTCCAGTTTTTCTTTCCTTGCATGAAGAACACACAGGTCCTGGTGTTTTTATTTCAAAACACTTCAAGCTTATCACTGGTTTTTACCAAGTATAAGAAAAACAACAACTCAATATTCCAAACCAAAATTTCTTTATAACAGTTGACTTTTATATCTGAGTAGTTTCAGTGTAGCTTTGACTTCAAATTGTAAATGTTTTTCAACAGACGAGAGCAACATCTGGATAGACCCAAAATTCCCAACTGAATGCTTCTTTCTCACACTTCACTTTCATCATATTTCTATCATTCCTTCCATTACCAAGTACACACGTCGAATCAGAGCAATCCGAGATCTTCATAGATTAGTAGAAGAGCTTCAAAATGCTGAATCTTTGTGGCGCCACCTTCCTACTGCTGAGAGAAATAGACAGCTAATGAAAAAGTGGAAATCTCAAGCAAAGGTATTAACAAATTGGTAACTTACCAATGAAATGATAAAGTGCAGGTTGTATTAGTGTTTGTGTGTATATTTCTGGCATACTGAGAGTATTTTACCTAATTTGTTACTCTTTATCCACTTGGAACTTAAAAATTAATTTTCAAAAGATTTAAATAGTTCCTAAAATATGATCTCTAAAGCTTGTTTTATTTCATATAAAAGTTAAAAGTGATTTTGTGGTTTGATATATAGAATTTCTTCTAAAATTCATAAATTACCTAATCTTAAAAACAATGTGTACAGTTAGTAGGAATAGTGGAGGGTTAAAAATGAAATGATGAGTTTTTATGAAGCTTAAAATTTTACCCAAATCTTAAAAAATAGAAATACAGTATGGTGTAACATTTTTTTTTATAATAACTGGACTATCGCAGAATTTAGGCACATTAAGATCGATTATTTGACGTGATTGATATTTGAAACCGTCAGTACTTGGTGAAACTCCATAGTTAGAGTTGAGGAAAACAAAGACAGTTGTATGTTTAACCTATTGACTGCAGCTGCTGTAAATGCATGCAGAATTTTTGTAAGTCATACACTGTATACGACACACTCGCATTCAACTGGTGTAGGTGGACCATACCCTATACGGCGAATCAGCAGTCAATGACTTAACAAATATTTTCTTCATAATTACCCTGGTTTTGCCCCTAAACACAGGTACTTGATGATGCATTATATTATATCCTTGAAGTCCCCCAATGGGTCAGCAGTAAGTTTATGGACTTACAATGCTAAAATTAAAGGTTCGATTTCCTGTGTTGGACAGAGTCTAGATAGCCCACTGTATAGCTTTGTGCCAAAAAATGAACAACAAAGATATATATGTGTGTGTGTGTGAAATTTCAAATGTAGATGGATATTTAGATTTGAATGTTGTAGAATCAATGAATATTTTTATTATAGCAGGTGATTTAGAAGTACACTAACAGGAAAATGATGTGAAAGAGGAAAGTTACAGTGAAATAATTGTTAGTGATATGAAATCAGGTGTTTGTGGACCTACCCTGAGATAATAGAGGTCATTTAAGGTCATGTTCTTTTAAACT